TGTTTTTGACGATGCCAAAAATGGGAATGGTGTAATCTGGAGAAGTAACAATACAAAAATGTGGTAATTGATGTAATGGTTTTGTTCGAATTAAGCCCTTCAACGTTGTACAGCAAAAAAATGGATTATATGTGTATATATATTATATGTATATATATATATATATATATATATATATTATATGTATATATTTTAAAATTGAAAGAGACGATGGAAGCAACCAAGAGACCATTTTACACACACAAACATGAACATCATCATGCATGTAGCTGAAAAAAATGAATGCCATGATTTCTTTTGAACATGACTGTGCATGGTGATGTTAATGGCTTAATTCTATCTATAAGTGTCTGTTTAGAAAAAAGGTTAAATCTTGCGGATCGTTATGAAATGAACGATAAGTTAAATCAGATCATAAAAATACGGTTAGATCTGACTTGTTTGATTCGTGTTTTTATAGGCTATTGATTATTAACTAATAGAATTAAATCCATATATAAGTTAAAATGCTAGTATGAAATAATCATAATCTTTATTAGTAATTAACATGAATATTTATAGAGAGGGGGAGACAGTGAAAAATTCAATTGCAAACCGATTTTCGGTTGCGAATTGAAGGACAAAGGAGAGTGTGACACGTGTCTCTGGTGTCCATATTCGGTATGAATAACGAAGGTGAACGTTCATTAATTATTCGTTATGAATAATACAACATTAATGATGAATAATATATCATCATGATCTATGTTAAATTGATTTACTATTCATGATGAATAATACATATTCATCATGAATGATAGATTATTCATGGTGAATAACCTGTAAAGGTGTGAGACACATGTCGCGTTCTCCTTAATTTGTCTTCCGATTCACAACCGAAAATCAATTTTCTTTTGAACTCGCCGTTATATATAATAATCAACTCCAATTAAAAATCATGAAATAATATGAACACAAATATAAGCATAGAACTATGGATTATAGATAGATTTATGGGGAGTTTGGTTAGCAGGATTCCGATGAAATTGGAATGGTCGATTTCATTGATCAAATTTCATTCTAACGTTTGGTCACCTATGGAATGGAATTGAATTACATGAATTCCATCAACCATGGATTTCATCATTCTATCATAGTGAGGAAGGAATCGAATTCTATACCACCCAATATTCTTAAAATGACAATATTACCCTCATTAAATCCTATAGTTTGATTAAAACTTCTGCCTCCTTCATTCATATTTTCACAAACTCAAACACGATTTTCACATACTCAAATACGAGACTCTCGATCTTGCTCAACATTCTCCATCTCGTTGAGAACTCTCAACCGATTTGGCTTAACAAATCATGGTCGTATGATGTCACTGCACACTTACTACGATTTTCTTATGTATAGTAATCGATTTTTCTATCTGGTTTTGGGAGTTCGATTTTTATGTTTGGTTTTGCAATCGATTTTTGATGGTTTTTTGCAATTGATTTATTTCTGTTGGTTTATGTAATTGATTTCTGTTGAATTTTAAAACTGATTTTTATGTTGGTTTTTGTTCGATTTTTCTGCTAGTACCAACCATTTACCTGCTAGTTATATTGTAATTTGACTTTTTCCACAAGTAACATACGTTTTATGTTTATGTATGATTTATAAATGGTAATTTACATTTTTTCACATTAAATATTAATTTTCTTATTATGTATTGTTATACTTAATTTAAATAAATAAATATCATATAAAGGGTATTTTTGTCATTTTCATTATTCCATTCCAATTACTTTATAAACCAAATAGACAAATTTCAATTCATTTGACAAGTTACATTACATTCCCTGTTAACCAAACATTTGGACAAAACTGATAACAATCATTTCAATTCATTCTGGATTCCAATTTTTTTGACATATTGTATTCCTTTAAAATTAAATTAAACAAACCAAATGCATCATGCGAGAATAAGATTTACGGTGAAAACATGACGAGAACAAAATCTCCATCCACCTTCAATTACCTTCAACTATATTCATGACCAATTTCTAGCTATCACCATAACTGAAACTTTAACAACTTCATGCATACAAAAATTAGTTCAAGGTATGTAAAAGTTCGTGAAGGTGAGTGAAAATGAAAACATATGTGATGATTAAGGTTGCTTTCATTATGAAGGTTACTTTCACACTGTTTTGTTTTGAAGTTTTTAGTGTAAAAAAGTGGTCTCACGAAAACAACATGGTCTTACATGACTTCAAGTGTGTGTGTGTTTGTGTGTGTGTGTATACATAAAGGGTTCCCTTCTTTTATTAACCAAACAATTAGTATTAACTTTGTTAACAGGAGAATTTTTGTTTTTTTTATATATTGATATCACATTCCTCAAATATCTCATTCACTTAATTATTACATTCCTTAATTATCATATTTCTAAAATATATGGTTTCTTCATTTAGTTATTACATTCCTTATTATCACATTCATTGAATATTAAGGAATACTACTTAAAGTTCCTTCATTTATTGTTTCATCTATGAATTTTCTGGTTTTACTTATGAACTTTTTTAATTATCTTATTCATTTTCTAGTTTCACTTATGAATTTTGATTAAAAAAAAAAAATTGGAATAGCCAAAGTTCGTAGATGAAACAAACTCATTGTCTCACTTATGAACTTTAGACAAAAATTATTGTTTTTTACCTATCAACTTTAAACAAAAATCATTGTTTCATTAATGAACCTTGTGGTTCCACCTACCAACTCTGTTAAACTTCTTAATTATCTCATTCATTTTTTGGTTTTACTTTTGAACTTTAGTAAAAAATTTGGAACAGTCAAACTTCTTATACGAAAAAAAATTATGAACTTTAAATCAAAATTATTATTTTACCTATGAACTTTAAAGAAATTATTGTTTCATATATGAACTCTCTAGCTTTAACGAAGTTTGGTAAAAGAAATGGAAGAATCAAAGTTTATAGATGAAACCTAAATCAAAACCATAAATGCATCAAAGTAATTTCCAAATATGAAACCCACTTATTTATTTTAGGGATAAATGAAGTTATAATTATCTTCCAAAATTACCTTTGACTTAATTCTATTTAATATGTTTTCTTTTTAATGTGCTATTATAATATTTCATTTTAATCATAATTGTTGATCAAAAAAATAAACGGCGCAGATGAGTTTGTAAAGTTAACACCAATGCATTGGTTAACAAAAGAATGTGTGTCTACAAATACACTTGGGATCATGTGAGACCAACTTGTTTTCGTGAAACCCGTGAAACCACCTTTTTTATACTTGAAACTTCATAGTAAAGCACTATGAAGGTAAACCTTCACATTAAAACACTATTAAGTTAACATTCACAGTGTTTTTGTTGTGAAGGTTCGGATTTTTTTTTATCTTCACAGTGTTATGTTGTGAAGTTTCAAGTGTAAAAACGTGGTCTCACGAGTCTCACAAAACAGTCTGGTTTCACGTGAATCCAACCCTATATATAGATATATGTGTGTGTGTGTGTGTAACTAAGCAGTTTGGTTGTTTAAACTGTCAAATTAAAATATCCAAATAAAATCGCACCATTCGACTAATCATAAATGAAACCACACACACCACCAAAAGCAATCCGATTTGGTTTGGTTAATTTGGTTTAACCGGTTTCAATTCGTGGTTTGACGAATTTTTTAAACAGCAACACCCATTAAGAAATTGTTCAAGTATTTCAATACCACGAGTCATTGAGTTAACCAAACATAAAACGTTATTGTTTTTATCTATATAGATTAAAAAACATCATCATGAGTGTAGCTACAAAATAAATAATACCATGCTTTCCCGTGAAGGAGTCATTAAGCATCTCCATACCATTAATCGTAATTATGATTCTGTTAACAAAACATAAAACGACATCATTTCTACCGTATTACGTGCACATATTGTTTTCATGTAACCTAGATAACGTCTTAATTTCCTTTGGTAAAATGCCAAAGTGTAGTTACTAATTAAAATGTCTTATTTTACGATTTTACATCTTCTTCGATTTTATTATAACTTTTAATACAAAGCGTCGTATTAGCAAATTTATAGGATATTGTTTGAAAAAGTATTATATAAAAACAAATATCTTATAAAAAGATGGTTTATAGGATACTTTCTCAAAACTTGTGAAGAACGCCTAAAAAGTGTCGCACGACTATAGTCACGCTTTGTATTAAATGTGTCAAACTTGTTAAGAACACATATAAGTGTCTTATAAACTTATTATAACGTTTTTAAATGGAACGTTTTATTTTTATTTTTTTTATAAATTAAGTCTTATAAAATAGTCTATTAGGACACTTATAAATCTAATTTTGCTTGTAATTAATGTTTGTTTTCCTCAAAACAAAAGTATTTGGCATCAATTTGTAAAACGAAAATAGATTGGTTATTTATGTTCAGACGAAGTATCATGTGAGAATTAAGGATAGAATGAAAAACGTAAGAAGAGATCTGGACCATTGATCACTTTTAATCTCATGTCCACCCATGAATTGTACTTTAGAATAAAATTAATATGTGCATCTCAGTATACCTCATTAATGTTGATATTCAATTAAGATTAATTTTAAGGTAAAAATTTCTTCTTATGTTTTTCACCATAACTTTCTTTTTGATCGAAAACTAACCCTTTATGTTCAGAGCTAAAATGATACCAATAATATAAACTACAAAGAAAACATTACGATAAGTACACATTCAACAATGGACCACATGGTTGCTTTAAAACATGAAACCGATATATAATGGTTAAAATTCTTGAATCATCTCTTTAAAAAAAATTATATATATATATATATATATATATATATATATATATATTATCAAGAACAAAAAAATATACCCTCCACCTTATCCTACTCTACCCTACCCTACCCCATCCCTTTGTTCTATAAATTCAAAACGACATCATTCTAGTACTGGTGTACTCCCATAAACAACCTTCATATTCGTAATTCGATTACATGGCTTCACGAAGATGCATCATGTTTCTCTCTATTGTTGTTGTAATTGTCCTTTTCTATATCTCATGGTACCCTTGTAGTTTGCACGATCATGACTACGAGTCAGGTATAGAGAGAACGTATACCTGGTATATGAAAACTGTTAAATACTTTATGTTTCAAGACTCCAACGTTATTGGTGATGTGTCTTTAGTTTCAACTAAGACATTCGATGTTGATTCGTTTGGTGCTAAAGGTGATGGCAAAAAAGATGATGCAAAGGTACACATGATTATGTTTCCTTGCATGGTTTACGCGCGAACTCTTTAATTCCTCTTTAGTTGTTAAGTGTCTATCTCAGTATCGAAAAGTTATCTACCTCGACCTCCCTCACTTGCTTCTTATGAAGCGGATTTTCAAGGTGGGATTTACTTGTAAGGAAGTGGTGGCAGAGTTTTGAGGTTTAATGTTTACCAAAATTAGAACACGAAACATTAATTAAATTAAAATATTTAATTTAATTAGAATTTAGTTATCAGTGTTTGTATTGTGATTTGTAACTATAATTAATTTTCATTTTATGATTATCTCATATGAAATTTTACAATTTATTTTTTTAATCTTACTTTAATTATTCTGTGTAACCACTTAAAAATATAGGATGCTTTTAGAAGTTTTAACAAGTTTTTTAGAACATTTTTAAAATAAGTGTTAAATTAGTTATTTTATAAGACATTTTGTAAACCTATTTTTTTTATAGAACACTTGTGTTTATAGTACAATTTTTAAAAGAATGTCATATAAAATTAGTTAATACAACACTTTATTTCAAAAGCGTCCTAAAAACTTATTAAAACGCTTAAAAGTGTCTCATAAACCTATTATAATATTTTTAGATAAGACGTTTTTTGAATTGGTTCTATAAACTACAAGTTTACGTTTTAGACGTCCTATAAAATCATTTTTGTTATAATGAACGTAGTTTTATATTCACTACGACAAAACCTGGTTTTTAGGTATATTTTATATGACAATGTTTAAGATTATGTTGATCTTACAAATTTAAAAAGTCTTATTATGTATATATGTATGTATATATATATATATATATATATATATATATATATATATATATTTGTGTGTGTGTGTTGTTGTAGGCATTCAAGAAGGCATGGAAGGAAGCATGTTCATCTACCGAAGCAGCAGTTTTTAGTGTGCCCAAGAACAAGAAGTACCTTGTAACACCAATTAAGTTTAAAGGTCCTTGCAAAGCTTCACTAACCATGCAGGTACCATATTCACCTTCATTATTATATTTCACAAACAATTAACATATAAAGGGCCGTTTACCAAACACTTACTAGGGTAAGCGTTTACCAAGTCGCGTTATCTCACCGGATGAATATGGTAAGGACCAAAAATCTTACCCGGTAAAAACGAGACAAGAACCATGAATCTTACCCGGTAAGTGAGAGCGACGACTTTTACCACAGTAAGAGCTTACCGGGTAAATTGTTGCATGGGATGTCATTTTGATGGACTAAAATCTTACTCGATAAGTAAATATAATAGTGTTAAATTTTATAGGTAAGCACTTATCCGATAAGTGTTTGTTAAACGAAATATTTGCAGATATCGGGAACTATTTTAGCATCTACAGAGGAGTCCAAGTATAAGAAAGATGAAAGGCATTGGCTTAGGGTTGATGGAGTTGATAACCTGCAGATCGAAGGAGGAGGTGTCATTGATGGCAATGGTGCCATTTGGTGGAATCATTCCTGCAAAGTCGACAAGGATCGTGTAAGTAATCAACCCATTAATTAATATCACTCCGATATAAACAAAAACAGTCGATTTATCCATTAAAGTTGATTATAAATAAATTTTGAAAATTAGGATAATATGTATTATCAATCACATGTGATTAGTTAAATATCATATGTGATATCCACAATCAATCTATTCTCAATTGCATGTAATTACGTTTAACGTACATATCACATATGATGATATGTATCTATATTATCTTATAAAGCATTTGGCTAAAACTTTTAAAAACTCTTAAAACCCGTTCATCCTTAAACGATTTTATCCCTATCCGATTTCATCTCATATCTGAAATTCGTGTAACTAACTGCAGATAAACACAATCAAATACAGGATAAACATCTCATTTTAAATATAAAAAATCTAAAATATAATTAGTATAATCATTAAATTCTAAMRDAATACTTAATTATTATCTTTATAAAATTTATAATATTAAACCAAAAATAAATTGTTTTATTATTAAACTTAAATTAAATTATATATAAAAAATAATCTATATTATAAATCATTTRACAAAAACTCTTAAAAACCATTTTTTATGCGAAAACTACTGTTTATTAATGCATATTACTTAAAACTCAAGATTACAA